TTCGGGTTCGGGTATTTCGGGTTTGAAATATTCATATCCAATCGGGTATATTATTTTAATCGGTTCAGATATATATCGGTCGGGTTCGGTTCGGTTATTTCGGGTTCGGGTATTTTGCCCACCTCTACTGGCCACTGGAAACGAATCAAATATATCTCATCTTCGAGTATGCAGTTTATGTACCAATAGCTCTGCTACAACGTACAAAAATGAGCCCACAACTAATTGAGTATTTACATTGGATATAATTTACCCTCAATTATTCGATATCTTGAACCACAAACGGGTGACATGTTTACAGCTCGTTTTACTCATTTTTATTTCCATGAAGATGAATTTTCGGTGTAATGGGAAGAATGATATAAGCCTCACAAGATTTGACGTGGAAAACACAAAAGATTATATACTTGCAAAATATAGCAAAGCCAACTGCCAGAATGATTCGCAAATACGACAGGTGACCAAATCATATATATCAGTCGTAAATGCACTCGTTCGGATAGAAATACCAAGGAATTAGGGAGATAAAAGAGTTGCTAATGAGTTTACAACACCGTTGAAATGTGGAAGACCACTCGATTTTAAAGATAAAAATCTACGTAAAAGAAAGAAGACCGAGACTAATGATAGTCCTAGATTGCTCCAGAAGAATCAAACGAAGAAAATGAATTCGCGTATCAAAATAATGAAAATAATCTTAAGGATACAGAAGAATACGAGATTTCTATTAACTACATCTATACTGTTAGAATATTATCTTTCTCCGTATCTAAAGAAATCGAAAATGATAGTGAAGATCAGAACTAATGTCGATATCTGAGTATAAAAAGAGACATGATTAGATAAAATGGAAAGAGACAATATAATTAGAATTAGACTCATTGAACAAAAGAAAAGTATTTAGGTCCATTGTTCTAGTCCCTGACGTGGTCACAAATGGATTTTTGTGCGAAAGAGAAATGAAAATAATAAAATCATGAGATATAAAAACACGTCTTGTCGCATGAGGTTTCTCTCAAAAACCTAGGATAGATTATGAAGAAATATATTCTATCAAAGCCTGCAATTATGTTTAGATATTTGATAAGTTTGACAACTTCCAAAAATTTGAAAATGTATCTCATTAATGTTGTTACATCATGGATCTTTGGAAAATAACATATACATGAAAATTCCTTATGGATTGAGAATGCCAGAAACATTAAATTCAAAGCTTAAGTAAATATATTCAATCAAATTACAACGATCCTTGTATGAATTAAAACAATTTGAACGTATGTGGTATAATCACTTAAGTGAATGTCTGTTGAAAAAAAGGATACATTAATAGCCTCATTTGCCCTTGTATATTTATCCAGAAAACAAATAATGGTTTTGTGATTATAACAGTATATATGGATGATCTAAACATAATCCGGACTGTCATAGAAATTGAAAACGCTCGAAATTATCTGAAAGACGAATTTGAGATGAAAGATTTAGGGCAAATGAAGTTCTATCTTGGATTACAAATAGAACACATTCCTAGTGGAATACTCGTTCACCAGGCCAACTATATTAAAAAAAATTTGAGACGTTTCAACATGGACAAATCAAATCCCCTAAGTACTCTAATGGTTTGTAAATCTCTAAATACTGAAAAAAAAAAACTCATTTCACCATATATGAGCGCGATACGGGTTTTGTTGTGTCTTACTAGTTGTACTCGACCCGATATAGCATTTGCTACTAATCTCTTAGCAAGATATATTTCGTCTCCACCAAGGTGACATTGGATATGGATCTAACATATCTTTTGTTATTTAAAAAGAACGATTGATCTAGAATTATTTTATCCTAGGGATTCCAAACTTCAGTTAATTGGTTTTGAAAATGCAGACTATTTATCTAATCTTCATAAAGTTCGATCACAAACTGAATATGTTTTCATAATGGGGGTACCACAATATTATGGTATTCTCAGAAACAAATATCGGTTACAACATCTTTGAATCACGTCGAAGTTATTGAATTTTATAAAGCATGTAGCTAATATTTGTGGCTCAGGATTATAACATGTCATATACAAGAAACATGTGGATTACCAATTAATTAATATCGATTCAACAATATTATTTGAAAACAATATTGCATCTGTTGTCTAAACCAAGAAAGAATACATAAAAAGTGACAGAACAAAGAAGATTCCTCTGAAGTTTTTTCCTTACACTCAAGAGCTCGAAAAAAACAAAGAAGTTGTTATTCGTTATATCTGATCAAGTGACAACGTAGATGATGTATTCACGAAGGCCCCCACTATTTCAACATTCAGAAAGCACATTCAGAATATCGGGATGCATCAACTTCGAAATTTATGAAGAAATTTATAGATATGTCTTTAAGGGGGATTTGTAAGACTACTATTTTTTTCGCCATGGTTTTTATCTCATAGGATTTTTTTCATGATAATGTTTTTAACGAAACAGTCCAACCGATCGATAGTCATTAGAGGTCTAACGGAGAGTGTTGTAATTGAACATCTAAATGGCCCTCTTCAATTTGAGACTCAATCTCGGAACGAAACATACGTTTTGCATCCCCATTTTACCGGTTGATCTAACCAAATTAGGTTCATATTTGTTACTTGATATTATAATAATAAAAATAAAAATTAAATTGCTTACCGTTGTAATTGGATCTCTAAATGGTCCAATCACATTCTTCCTCCGTGATGAAGGAGCTTTGGATTAAAGCCCACAAAACACAAATACATGTACGAAGGCTTGTGATAACATGTATCTCTTTTCTATTGCATTAGTCGCTCTCTCTCTCTCTCTTTCTCTCATCTCTCTATTCTCCGCTTCATATTATACTCCTCTTATATTATAAATACTTTTATTTTTAACAATTACAAATTTTTTTGTCCCTTTTGATAAATGTTTTTTTATGAGCCGTTTAGAAAGTCAAGATATCTGTAAAATAATCCTAATAACTTTTTTTTTCACTCGCAAGACAAATGTTATACCTTTAAAACCAAATAAATAATGAAAATTTTGGACATGCGTAGTTCATGTTAGCGCATTCTCAGCCGTTGGATCAAAGCCGTAAATACCGTGCAAACCCTAAAAGTCATCCTCCTCTCCACGAAAACCCTCGTGACCTTGGACCCTTTGTGAAGATTGATCTATATTTCAACGGGCAGATCCCGGATCTAACTAAATTCCCAACCCCTAATCTCTTTGGAATCCACATGCCAATGAGTCTATTGCTCGTAACCGTGAAGGGAGTTTCTTGCAAAAATCGTGTATATTTGTAGGAACATAAAAGATGTGATGGTGTCAAACTGGCGTTTCAGAGGAATGTTGCACCACAAAGACATGCGTGGTCACTATCTTGACACAGTGTTCGATTTATACCGTAGTAGAGCTCACTTCTATGGACCCTTTAGGGAAAATGAAAACCTTCCTTTTACATGTGCAGGAATGATATCCAATTTGTATAATTACTTTATTATTCCCTTTAGCTAGCTGTATAATTATTTTTTTGGAAAATTTTTATATAAATACCCCATTTTATAAAATGTGTCAAATAAATACATAACCTTTCAATTTGATCTAATTGATATCTCAAATGGTAAAATATTCCAAATTGATACCTTAAATGTTGAATTATTTCAAATAAATAATTAATTCATTAAATTGATAGCAATTCTCAATCTGGATTCTGAGGACGATATATATATATATATATATA